TTTTTGTCACTACTATAAAAATGCTTGAATTTTAACATACTAAGTTTTTGAAATTTTTGATTTTAATTCTAATTTTTTATTAATTTTTGATTAATTTCAATTGTTTTTTTTATTATTTTTAAAAAAAAATCAATCAAAAAGTTGGCTCTCATTTAACTTTTGTTGTAGTTATTAAAAAATTATAAAAAAAATTCACTGATCTATATTTATAGAGTACTATTTACTGTGAAAGTTTCAAAGCTGTATCTTTTAAATTTAAAAAGTTAGAGGGAGTGGAATACTTATTATTTTGACTGTATATATTTTGATTAAAACTTTGAGTAAAGATAACCTAGTAACTATTAATTGCCAATCCAGATAAGATTGGCAATATTTCTATATTTAGAATTGGGGCAAAACAAATATATAAACAAGGTAGTACAAAATCTGGATCAGGCCTGTATATATAAAATTTTTATATGATTTAAAGAATTTTAAAGATATTTTTACTCATATCTTCTTATCTACTGGTCTGATTTTAATGAAATTTTACTAGTAGATGCACAAGAACCTGCTCTACAACTTTACTTATATTAAAAATAATATTTACTTAGTCCAAAAAAAAACTTTTTATTAGGCCTAAAACAGATTTACTAATATATTGTTTATATATTTGTTTATCCCCAATTCCAAATATGGTAATAATATAGCTATAGTACCGATCTTATCCGGATTGGTAATTAAGTCAAATTTAATAAATTTTTTTTATTTAAATTCTATATATTCTTAGAATTCAAAAAAAAAGGTTCATTAAATTTGGTCTAGTAGTTGCTAAGATATCTTTGCTCAAAGTTTAAAAAAATTTTGTAATTTGTTTTGATAGATGTTTTAATTTTTTTTAAACTTTGAGCAAAGATATCTTAGCAACTACTGGGCCAAATTCAATGAACTTTTTTTTGTTTGAATTCTACAAATCTATATAATTTTAAAAAAAAGTTTGTTAAATTTGAACTGGTAGTTACTAAGATATCTTTGCTCAAAGTTTAAAAAAAAGTTAAATCTGCAAGAGTATAAATAGCAAATTTAAAGAGTATAAAAAGTAATCCTCTAAGGATCATGTTTTTAATCACCTGATTATTTTTTATCAGAAACCTACTTCTTTTTTCTTTTCTTTAATATATATATATAGTTAGGTTCTTTATATATAATTCCACCTTTTTTATCTTCTTTTCTTTCTAAAAAATTATTTGATTTTTATTACTTTTCTAAATAAATATAAAATTTTAAATTTGTAAAATTTGTAAAAATTTTCAAATATTCGCAAAAAGTATAATTATATGAATATATGGGCCCTCAAAAGTAGAAACCAGACAATTTGGCAGATCACAGGTTTTGAGAAAATCGGCAAAAACTATTTTGTTACACAAGATCAAAACAATCTAAAAATAGCATATTCATGATTAACAAACCTGTTTAAACAGGTTTATTACATCTGTAGACCTGTAGATTGCTTCTAAAATCTCAGTAAATCTATTTTTAGATTATAGCGTCAAAAGCTTTTAACCATTGTATCCCAAAAATTTATTAAGTGATTAAACTTTCATTATTAAATAAAAAAAGTTTGGTCTTTAAATTTTACACCTGATCAATCAAACAGGTTAATTTTCAAAAAATTGTCAAATTGTCTGGTTTCTACTTTTGAGAGCCCATATATATCATTTTTTATTTTTTTTTAAAAATTTAAAACTTTGTAAAATATATAAAATATTTTAAAATATTGTAATAATAAGCAATATATTCCTTTTTGCGATTTCCAAAGAAAGATAATTATATAAAGGTTTGTATTTTTTTATTAGGCCTATTTTACAATATTTTATAATATATTTTGAAATTTATTTTGAAAATTTTGAAAAAAAACTTTTGAAAGAATATGTATCTTTACATTAATTGCATTTTTTAAAAGATTTTGGCATGCAATTTTTTTTGAAAGATTTTATATATTTTTTGCTAATGTAAAGTTGTAGAATAGTTATTTGTGATTTAATGATAGTCAAATCATTAATATTGGTTAGATATTTGCTAAAAATATATAGTTAAAGATTGGGTATTGATTTTTTTGTTTACAAAAATTATATAATGATTATATAATATAATTAAAATAAACAATATATATAACTAGCAAATTTGAAGCTACTGTAGCAAACTTTATAATATATACAAGTATACTTTTTTAAAATAATTTGTTGTTTAAAATTTATATTTTTAAAAAGAGTACTGTATATTTTAATCTACAAAATATAAATTTTTAAAAAAAATTTAATTGTAATTGAAAATTTTTATTAGTGATATATTTTTATTCTCTATATAAGGTTTTGATTGCTATATATATTATATGAAAATTGATTTATATATCCTCACTATATCCTTTATCTTTAAACTCAATTCTTTTATAATGGAATATATTCAAGTTTCTGTTTTTTTTACTGCAAACACTTCAATTATTGTCAGAAATAATAGAAATTTAGTTGATCATAAAAACTAAAAGCCCTATTGGATCATTCTAATCCTAACCAATTAGATATAGTAATTTTATAATTTTTTTTTTTAAACATTAGCCTGGTGATTATACTGTAGTAATTTTATAATTATCTAAACATTCTCTATAATTATTATAAGACTTTGATATAAACTTATCAAGTATAACTAATAATTTGTTGCCCAATTTAAATTATAAAACGTTTTTATATAAAATATTGCACTTAGCAACCAGAAATTTTTGGATCCAAATTAATTTAAAATTTTTTAAATTTTTTAATATTAGCCGAATTTTTATAATTTTTTTTAATTTTTTACAATTGTTGTAAGGTTTTGCAAATTTTGATTGGTTATAACTTTTATTATACAAAATAAAATATTTTGAACTTAGATTAGCTATAATACTTTAAAAGTATTTTAAAAATATTTTTCTAATACTGTAGATGTTTTCAAAAATTTCTTTACATGTATCTAATCATCATATTTAGAAACATTATAGATTTGTTTAGCTTTATTTAGTAATCAGTTTTTATAATCAAACTGGATCAAGCTAATAACATTTCTACTTTGTATATAAGACCATTAGCAACCTTTAAAACACCCAATATAGAATATATTTTTAATGCGCAGTTGTAGTAATATTTTGAAGGATAATCGTAAAAAATGCAAATTTTTAGTTTATCACGTGAAATTTTGTTTACACCTGATCATGCAATTTTATTGGTTGCCACACGTGTGCAATAATACAAAATCTGATAGTTCTTCGCTACCGCTTCGACAAAAGGAAGAGATCTGACTAAAGCCAGGTAAGCTTTTCATCCTTCCTTTTAAACTAGTGTAATATTCGAGATTTCCGGCGGTTATCACATTGCTGTCTATGAATTTAATAATCGGACTATAATAACAATTGTTAACATGTAGGATGCAAATGCAATATTCTCCAGTCGAATGGGACGTGAAAATGGAAATTGAATTCTTTCGTGCTATTATGAAACATAGACCTGTTGGTAAGATCGCTTCCAAAATTATATAATATACTATGTGAAGATATATGCTAACCTTGATCAAGGTATTCACCGGCATTTCCACATGGTAAATGTGCATCACGATTTTAATGCTAATAGCGCAGTAAAATGTACGATACCTGAGCTATGGGAACGATTTGGTACATACTTTAACTTGTCTAAACTCGAAGATTTGGTAGGTGACATCTTCAATCTCCTAGTTCTTTTGACTTTTTCTTACTGAATTTATGTTAAACTACTAAGGATCGTGATTTCGATGAAGAGGCCGATGAAGATAGCGCATTTACAGAATTCAGTTTACCAATGGATGAATATTACCATCTAATTGAAGAGCATCGTAAAGCTGGTTCTTCACGTGGGGCTTCTCCCTCGCCGGCACCCTCAAAAAGTCAAAAAAGTCGAAGAGAACAGTCGCCTTCGCTATCACATACAGCTTCTCAAGAGTCTTCCCCAGAACCTGAAGGTTTCATACACTTGCATTTTTTATTCATTTATTTAGGAATGGTTTTGTCGCTAAAATTAATTATTTGTTTGTTTAGATAATAAAAAAACAAGAAGAACCAGAACTTTAAGAAAACCCGACGTTGCAGAATCCGCTAAGATGCAAGCTTCATCAAAACGTGGTGGTGCTAGAACACGAAAAACATCAGATGCTGCCATGTCAAGTGGGACGGGACCTAAACGTGGAGGCGTTCGTAAAAAGCAGAAATAATTCATTTGTATATGTTTTATTTTTTTGTCGTATTAAACTAAGAATTCTGTTGACTTTATTTCGCATTTATTTACACGATTGAATTATTTCTGAGCGAAACGGATGTGCACAAACAGAATAATAATAATAATAATAATAATAATAATAATAATAAAATTGTTATTACTAATAATCATATAATCAAGATTTGTTCTTGGTATAATTGATCGATTTGATGGTTCTCTGTTAATTCGAAATGTTGAATAAAAGATTGTTGTAGAACATTCAGCTCGAATTAAATTTTTGAGGCAACTTCTTTGCTGGAAATGGTAAGGTTAATGTCGAAAACGTTAAGACAATGAAGTCTCGCAGCAAAAGTGAAATTTAAATAAAACTGTTATATCAAAAATTAATTATATAGAAGCAAAGATAATTAATTATTTTGATAATGCAGTAAAATCTCGATTAAGCTAGTAGATTAAAAATTATTTGTTTTAAATAAATGGGGGGGGTTTTTTTAAACTTTACAACCATGCTCTACTTTATTAGCGGTTTAAGTAAAAAAATTTACATGAAGGCTACTCCACTAGTGCCCAGTACGGTTGTTGCACTGATGTTTGATAGTCCCAAAGCCATATACGACCATTTCTTCGAGAACTTCAGCTTTCTTAAAAAAAATTGTGGCGTTGTAACTGCATCAGCCGGGGGTCGAACCCGGGTCACTCGCTTGGAAGGCGAGTATTCTGCCACCTATACTACTGATGCATAAATGTTATTTTTTTTTTATTAATTATTAATCATTTAAACCAACAACTTTTAGACTACTAACTTGTAAAAAAGTTATAGTTAGTATATTTAAACTTTTATGATTTTTTTTAATTGAATGATCCGGATAAGATTAGCAGAATCTTGAAACAATAGTAAATTTTGGTAATAAGTATAATATAAATTTTTATTATATAGTGAAATCTGACAAGAGTTTAATAATAAGTATAGTTTTACTTATATATAGTTACCTTTTACAGAATATAATTATATTTTTTATTTATTTACCTAAAATTTTTATATATATTAAATTCCTTTCTATAATACAATACTTATATAAATATTATAAACAAATATATATGTATTATTTCTATAAAATCATAATTGTTTATATATTTACAATTTAAAATTTTAAGTTTTTGTTAAATAGTAATAGCTATATATCAAATTATATTTTTTTTTAGATTACTAATAATATATAAACAAAATTTACAAGATTTAATTAAACTTTATATGTACCCTAAGGCAGTGTTGTACATGGACATTGTCCCGCCGATTTTTCAGGGACGCGGACAGTCCGGGACGGGACGTCCGGGACATGTCCGCAATAATGTCCCAACATGATGGACATGTCCGCCGGGTAAAACCAATCAAATTGCGGAATTATACGAATTTTATTAGTTGATGATCACATGTTTAGTCGCCAAATGTCCGGGACAAAAAAAATTCTGGGTGGACATGTCCCGGACGTCCCGTCCCGGACTGTCCGCCGTCCGTGTCCGTGTCCCATGACAACACTG